TTTTTGGGGGGTCAAATTTCAGACTCGTATCGCCTCTCGTTTCATATCGTCTCTCGAGCGGAGGAAAAATTACGCCCGCGATGAAGGAAGTTTGTTGAGTGAGGCTAATAAGGGCCTGAAAACTGAGGTTCCATTACACTAGGTTTACATTCAGTGATTTTAGATGTCCTTTGAAATATCACTTCCTTCCTTCTTTTTTCGCCAGACCATGTTCTCCGTTCACGACCAGCGGGCCCTGGGTTCACAGCTCCTAAGAATTGTGGGACAGCGGCTTGCCTACGTCATCCTGGATGCTTCAGAGTCCTCTGAACGCGCCAATCGCTTGTCACGCCTGCCAACGCAAATCAGCAGCTGGATCAAGTCACAAGTACTGTAAAGAAAATTGTCTCTTGCAATTTGTGGTTTCGCGCGCTTTCCATTCAACCAAAAATTCCGTAACTTTCGAAAATCCAGCGATTGTCAGAATTCTAGGAGGAGAATCATTCAACGGAAAATTCCGAGAGCAAAATCAAATAGAACGAAAATTCGATCTCGCGAGGTTATCCTTTCTTCCGTAAATTTCAGAAAAACCGTTCCATTCGCCACTGGAAATTTCCAGAAATTAAACCGGAATTTTTGGTTGGGCAAAAAGAGCCTTGAAAGACAGTTGAAAATACGATGCGCAGCGGGGAATTTTTGGCGAAAGTCGAGGTGTTTGGAAATGTGATATAACACTTTCCTGAGTATGACATGCCATCTCAATGGAATCTAAAACTAAGGAGTAAACAGAGGTAAAGTCTTTGGGAACCAAAACCACTGTTATGGTTATCATTTCCTTTGATTTAGCTAACTTGGTGAATTATTGATGAGTTTGCATTGAGAATCTTTCCTCCAGTAAGGTTGGTTTTCATATGATTGTCAGGATCGCTGAAAAACAGTTCGTTATACATACACATAGATATACCTAAACTTTATGCACTCTCGAAATTACAGAGCAGCATTTCCGCTAATTTGTTCGAGTTACCTTATCATATTGGTGGAGGCGCGGTGGCCTCATGGTTAGATATAGTGCGCTCGTCTCCGGATCGAGCGGTCCGGGCTCGAGCCCTGGCCGGGGACATTTTGTTTTATTCTGAAGCAAGACACTTTACTCTCACAGTGCTTCTCTCCACCCAGGTGTAGAAATGGGTACCGGCGAATTTAATACGGGGGTAACTCTGCGATGAACTAGCATCCCATCCAGGGGAGAGTAGAAATACTGCTATTCGCTTCATACTAGGATAAGCTCCGGCCATAAGCTTATGGGCCACTTGGCTCGTATGCAGACTTTACCTTTTTACTTTACTCAATCTCGACGAGCGTAACGATCATATGAAAACCACTTCAAAGATTGTAGAGATCGTTCTAATGATAAATACACAAGAATTCACTGCGTCGCTGTTTTGTCTAGGTCCTCTCGTTTTTTGTTTTTTGTTTTTTGTTTTTCTTTTTTTGTAATTCTTTAGCGATCGTGGGGATCATACGAAAACTGGTCGAAAGGTTCGATCAACTTTTTTCTCTAGCGATCGCAGTGCAAACCGGCTTGTAGTGACAACACAGCAATCTTTCTAAAGTGTTTTTCTCTTTCTGTTTCAGGACCCGTCTAGATTGTCATGTCGTAAGGTCCCTCTCTCGCACACTGTTGATCTTCTGCGTGTAGTGCTAAGCCTGACACCGCAAGACTCGCCCGACTACTCTCTGACTTCAGGATTGGCCGAGTCCATCAAATTCCTCCTCTAGACGTGAAGGATAACGTTATCCAGTCTGTTGGCTGTCGTGTTTGGCTAGCGTAGCTTCCATACACATCCTTGTGAATTCGGCAACGAAGGTTACATATTCAGCAGAATACAGAGTCCGATGTAATCCTTCGCCAGACTTGGAAAGATGCGTTTCCAAAGTCTGGAATAGTTTCTCCACAAACTCAACAGTTCAGCAGCCTCACGCTTACATTGCAGTCAAATTCAACATTGGAAATGAACGTTGTATTGTCAGGTTAAGCTAGTCATAGGACCCAAGTGCATCTGAAGTCCGGGTTCAAACACGCAAATCAAGACCTCAGATTTAGCTTGACGAAGACGAGGAATCGTGCCAAACATATTCATTTCGCACAGCTATCTCACAATAACTCCAAAAGGAGCACTTCGGTTAATTTGGGGGCGGGGGGGAAACTTTTAAATTCCCTCGTATTTTAAACGTTATTCCATTTTCGCTTTCTCACAGAGTACCTCAAAGTTCAAGTTTCAAGCTGCTTCGCACATAGAGTTACTAACAAGTATCGTTTGTTATCGTTTATATCGGGGGAAGCTAGTTACTCTTGAAGGCCTTTTACGGGAGGCGAGGAGGGCTGCTGTTGTATTTCCATCATATTTAGCTAGCTCACGTAAAAGAAAAGGTACAAAAGAGTTTTTAATATTTATTTAATAGTTAGTACTAAATTAGCCTGCATAAGAACGACAACAGAATACAAATATGCTGGACGAATAAAGGCTCGATTACTAGCCGCTGCTCGGGAAAGGAGCCCGCGCTCCTCTTCGGGAAGACGCGCGGGGACTGGACCCGAGAGAACGGCGGAAATCGACCCTAGGACAAATAGGTTCGATAGAATACATATATTTCCCTCAAATATTTTTCCTGTTGAGAAAATGGGAGGAGGGGTGGTTTTACTTGTTAATCGTAGACGGGCTTATAGGGAGATAATGGCATAAAAGAGAAGAGTTTATATTTAGGTTTTACAGTCAAAAATCAATAGTCTTCCATAGAGATCCAAATTGAAAATGGGTATTTTAGTAAAAGGATGTCGCACGAAAAACTGTAATTTTTTGAAAAGGAAATGAATGTAAGAACAACTATGATGTTGCCATATGTAATAAAAATTGAACAGGTTCTTTAATCACTTGTGATATTTTTTGTGACCCTTATTTTAAGAAAGTAGCTAATACTTGAAAAATTTTACGACCACTTTGCCCTGGTAGAGAAAAGAATTACTGTTAGAGAAAAGTCACGCAGTACTTCACGATTATAAGCAAGAACAGATTCATGATTTTTTTTTATTATTCTTTGTCATCGACTTCTAACGATAAAAGAAAGCAGCAGCATTAAAGAGATCTACCAGGATATGCACACCATGAGGGGTAACGACACCCGAGTTAGAGAAAGGTTGACATTTTTGGAAATAACGTTATGCTACAGGAGAGGTGTTAAAGGCTAATTTTAAATTTCGAACGGCCAAAAGCGATCGCGTGCAGCCACTCGCATAAATGTCAATCTGTTGACGCTAATCGTAATTTCAAACTTTAATTAATCAGATGGTAGATATATAAATAGTCACTTCTTTGAAGTGAGATATCGTTTAAACATTTTAAAATCGATTCTATTCTTACTTTACATTCGAGGTAAGCGTTCGGCAGGAGGCAAATACATCTAAAACTACTCATCAATAAAACTATTTCATTATCTACAGACGACTTCGGCAAGCTTTGTATCCAGAATTACAATCGTCTTTCCGTCCATGAACCCAAACTAGTATCTTCGTATTGCAGACGTTCATTCACAAATCGAGGAGGAACGATTTCGTAACAAGAAATTCCATGCTAAAAAATTGCGTGACGAAGCACTAGGTCACACATCAGTTTTCCACAAATGAAATGTTTGATTGACAGTGCTCAATTGGCTTCAACAGCAACCAGTGTTCTCACGACTGAAAATGTTACCATGGAGATAGAATAGTCGATCCCTTCCCATCGTTGATAAAGTTAAGTTCATAATATCCTTTCTTTTGTCCATGAAGATGAAAGGTTTCGTCTACAGATTACAACGAGAAGGAATATCCGACGAGTTTTGAAAATAGTTTCGACGCAAATTTTTCACTTGTTAAACTGCTTCTTGGCCAAGATGTGACAACTGAAAGAAGAAACAATGAAACAAGTCAACAGTCAAAACTAATCGTAAGCTCTACTTTCACCGCTGTCTCGAGTGCGGTCTTCGCTCTTCCCGGAGAAGACAGAAAGGAAGAGCGTGAGCTCACTTTTTCGAACCTAAACCAATCACTGCATCGGAAAAACTCAACAAACCAATCAGAGCTCAAACAAAAAACATGACATCTATGGTAAGCGCGGGTTTAGTGTAACCTGTTAAAAGCGCGGAAAAACGTATGGGGTTGACGCCGCGGTAATCGCGCATTCTGTGGCAAGCGCATGATAACGTGTGTATCAAGCGCGGGAAAAAAGGTGGTCCATGGAAAGCGCGGGAAAACATACGGACCAAGTGCGACAAAACCTCTGTTACGTAGCAAGCGCGGTATCTTGTACATGTTTGGCCACTACACTCTGATTGGTTACCTCATGAGTGTTCTAAACCAATCAGAGAGTTTATTAAGAGCCATACAAAAAAACAGTGATCCCTGAACCCACCTGTTTAAGTAACTGTGCAGCGTTCATCACTTCACTAGCTCCATACAGCAGTTTCTTTGCACCAGAATGCCTCTACAAAACAAATGGAAACGTATTTTACAACAACTGCAGAAATTCTCTCGCGCTCATTGGCTAATTTTCATTGTCAATAAGCGGACAGACGAATGAAATTATTTGATGCGGCAACGAGCGAGAGCGGACAATTAGACAATTTGCTGTTGTAAAAAAACAAATTGACGCAGTTTTTCATGCGTCTGTCCTGTTATTGACAATGAATTTCGTCTTAACATTGTCAAAGTAGTCTGCGGATCCACAGCTACTTTGACAATGTTATGACGAAACTCATGATCAATAACAGGACAGACGAATGAAAAACTGCGTCAATTTGTTAAAGAGATCCAACATTTGTTCCAATATCTTGTTACCGTGTGATATTTTCAACAGAACACATACCTGACTGTAATCCATCAGGTTTTGATATTCAATGTAATTTCCGCCTCCAACTATAAACACTATCGCCTGTGGAGCAGCAGCATAATTTATGATCAGAAGCATACATCAGGAAACGGTAACATAAATTAAGATCAGAAGCATAAATTAGAGAGCTGCAAAGCCGGACTAGCATGAATTAGAAGCATACATTACGAAACCACTTAGAATAATCGAGATGGAAAACATAAACTGATTAGCACTGAGACTAATAAGGAACAAATGAAAATATCATTTAAGAATGTGTCTCCTTTGCCTTTGCAATTTTGCTTCGTTTCTTTAGCTTTCAAACCTCATTACNTGCGGATCCACAGCTACTTTGACAATGTTATGACGAAACTCATGATCAATAACAGGACAGACGCATGAAAAACTACGTTAATTTGTTAAAGAGATCCAACATTTGTTCCAATATCTTGTTACCGTGTGATACTTTCAACAGAACACATACCTGACTGTAATCCATCAGGTTCTGATATTCAATGTAATTTCCGCCGCCAACTATAAACACTATCGCCTGTGGGGCAGCAGCATAATTTATTATCAGAAGCATACATCAGGAAACGGTAACATAAATTAAGATCAGAAGCATAAATTAGAGAGCTGCAAAGACTAGCATGAATTAGAGGCATACATTACGAAACCACTTAGACTAATCGAGATGGAAAACATAAACTGATTAGCATTGAGAGCAGAAATTAGGAACAGGGACTAATAAGGAACAAATGAAAACATCATTTAAGAATGTGTCTCCTTTGCCTTTGCAATTTTGCTTCGTTTCTTTAGCTTTCAAACCTCATTACGCTTCATTATAACATGGAAAAGTGATCTGCAAAACATTCGCCTCACAATACTGGTACATAAAGCAAACAGGGAAAAAGAATAAACAATGGTAGAGAAATTGTATTGATTACTTCAACTATTACTACTAATACAGGTGTTGTCACGAGACCAAGTAGTGACGTAGAGTTCGCGTGTTGTGATTGATCAGCTTACCTCGCTGAATGGAGTTTTATTTCGAGGAATAGACAAACTGTGGAAAGACAGTAAACAACAATGTGAAACACTCGTCATTCTCGTTCTCAGGGTCCTCTCTCTTCGAGGAAGAGAAAGGACCCTGGGAACAAGGTTGCAACGTCATGTGCACGTAACAACCAATCAGAGTGACGTCATCAGTGTGGAATGTTTCAGAAAGAGTCAATTGGAAGCGTCAAGATAAATGTCTGTTGGCTTGACCAATCAAGTTAGTCTGTGAGGTGGAGAAGTCAAAGTGCAAGCTGATTGGCCATTGGACTTTGACACGTGCGGGAGAGGGTTCTGATTGGATGAGCAGTTTGAAAGCCAACAGAAACTGACAGATGTCAATTAGGTTTCAAAAATGTTTATAACAAGGCTAGCAAAGCTGCGCTTTGCTAGCCAAAGATGCACTCTCGTGTATTGAGCGGCTTTGCAATGTTATAAATTTATGCTTTTAGCTGTGCATATGCGAGTTATGATCGCACTTGGGATGCTTGGTGTGCAAGCGCAGTGTAGAAGCTAGAACCCATGTCATTGTGTATTCTTCGCAAACGATCAAAGTGCTGACTAAACGTTTACTACAACCGGCAAAATTACGTTCCATTGAAAGCAGGCTCCCTACCTATCTGTAACGCGTAGCATCTTTGGGTCAAAATATCTGTAATCTTCAATTTCCTAGAGAAAAATAAAAAGATATCAGCATATTTAACTTGTGAGTGTTGTGATCAAGCGACTCGAGCCCGGGGGAGAGTGGGACAACTTACCGGATTTGACTTGTTGTCCATCAAGGCGTCCACAATACGTGTGACGGGTAAATTCTATAAAAGATAATTGAAATACAAAGACACTTTCAGTGCAAAGGTTAAAATAACTTACGCAATAGCGCGGTTTTCAAGTGAGTGTCGTAAAACCAACAACAAAGAAATCAGTCTAGCCAATCACAAAGGACACGACAAAGGACAATACAGTGAACCAATCAAAACTTGAATTACATGCAGCTGACGCAAAGAGCCGGAAAACGAGTGCGAGTGAGTCATGGTTGGATTTGGTTTTACTTCTGATTGGATGACAAAGTGGAGTGAGTTATTTGAGCCAATCGCTTGGCGTAGCAAGGTAAAACTAAATCAAATGCCATTATTTTCGACACTCAAGTGATAACCAATCTATCTTAGCCAGAGAAACCAAACTTCTCAATCACGTCTTCAATTCTTCCCTCGCTTAAGAGGAAATTCCATAATAATGACGTCACTGTACAGAAATCCACCTAGTTGGTCGTTGCTTGGTGCGGTTATTTTCCCGCGCAGTAAACAGCCAATCAAAGACGCTCGATGGATTTCTGTCAAGTTACATCATTAGTAGCGAATTTTTCAGGTGGAAGCTCAGATGTCTTCAAACGAAGGAGGAGTTCAGCGCGCGATGTGAGGCTTTTTTTTTCATCAGGGTATCGATTCTGAATTTTAGCTCACCTTGTTTCCAACGACAAGATTCTTGACTCCCTCCATGACAAACTGTGATCCGGTATTCATAAACCTCGAAAACATGGCGCTGAAAAAGTCAATCAGTAACACAATTACAGACTCGCGCATACACACCTCCAAAAGACAAAACCTAAAACCTTTGCTGAGGCATAATTCATAGCGGCGTAAAATATTCTTTCCCGCTGCGGGTCATTTGGTAGTTTCTTTCATAAACCACGATATCTTGTCTATAATTGCCTGCGATGTAATAGATCAAAATGGAATTAAATATGGTCTATTACACCCAGGCAACAATGAACATGGTCACTTGTTCTTGTTCTTTTTCTTGCTTTATTATTGCTATTTATAAACATAATAACAACACATCAATGTATATTATTAGACAAGGAAGCCCA